CGGCCAGCCACCTCCCATGGCCAGCCGGCCAAGGGTCAAAAGGGTCAATCAACATTAGTAGCTGACCATATGATATTGGTGGCCTCCCATGTGTGCACAATACAACCATGTGGTCAAACACTGGAAAAAGTGACCCAGGAGAGAGAACAACCCACTTTTTGGAGGGGTTCAAAAGGGTCAAGCAACATTAGTGGCCGGCCATATGATATTGGTGGCCTCCCAGGTGTGTACATCACAAATATGTGGTTTTGGGTGCAAGAAAGTGGCCCTAGGGTGGTCAACATTGGCTTGGAAGTGAGAAAAACGGGCGTCGGAGGGTGCCGGAGGAATATAACTGGTTGCTGAAACAATTGCTGGCCTCCCACCCTTCTACGGCCTTCCTGGTGATGAAACAGAGGTACCTGCCAAAAAATGAACGAAAACCGATGCAAAATGAAGGTTCGGGGGCCGAAACGCGCAGTCTGGGGCCCCGAAAACTGACTGTTGGGCACCGAAAGTGGCATTCGACCATGAAGTTGGTCTCTCAGACCTCAGTGTCCCTCAAAAGGGAGCAAATAAGAAGTATGCCAAAAACCGGAGCAAACGGAGATGGTTAAGCGGTCCCGAACCGTGGCACACGGCCTGACGTCCCAAAAACCGAAAACCGGGCTCCGAAATGGACAAAATGGCCTACAGCCACAAAATGTAGCCCATGGCCACTAAGAGATGGTCTACGAGACCTCTCCCTCCCCTTAGGAAAAGAAACAGAAACAATCGAGTCTGGTTCGCAAACCGAGGCAAGGCAAAGAAGAGGGTTCGGAAGTCCGGAGGCAGGGCTCACGGCCGCGACTCTGAGACTTCTGAACGAGCACGATATGCAACGTCACCGAGCGCTCAATCGGTGATGTCTGAGTCTTAAGGTTGGTCAAAAATGGGGTGTCTACACAACTTTTTCGCATTGATACTTGTTTTTGTTCTTGTAATTTGATTTGGCTAGATTAGACACACTGGTGTAGCCTATTGGTTTCATTGAGTCGAATTTGACGGGGTGTTTAGGGTTTGATACTTGTTTACAATAAAATAAAATGTAAAAATATGCATTAAAAATTAATGCAAAGCAATATCAAAATAAAAAAAAAGCATCAAATAAAGAAGGGAAATTCTCGAATTAGTTTATTTTGTAAATTATATTTGTAAATTGTGACCAGTTCAATTGCTTTGTATTAAACAAATAGGCATTTGTTTCTTGTATGTTTTTGCCTATTTATTTTTTCTTCACACTTTCCTTTTTCCAGGAATAAAGTTGGATCATCTAATTAAAAATGGGTAAACTTAAGGTTTTGTTAGAGCATCTCTAATGGTTTGCCATTGGAGCTGCCATTGCTATATATAGCAGCGGCCATTGAATTTTGATGCTCCAATGGCAAAACATAGCAGCTGCCAAATTTGAGAAATGCCAAAACTTGTGTCAAATTTGACACAAGCTTTGGCAGCTGCCATTCATGCCACCTCAGCCATAAACCAACGGTTTCCCTCCCTCCTTTCCCCCTTCACGCCAACTCAGCCAATTCATCAAACAGATTCACAGATTGACAGGAAAAAAATTACAGATCCAGAATTCAGATTCAAGGATTCACAGATTAAAATTCATCAAAAAAATTACAGATTCAAATTACATATTCAAAGATTCACAGATTCAAATACAGATTCACAGATTCAAATTCATCAAAAAATTACAGATTCACAGAAAAAAAAATAGTTAAACAGATTCAGAATTTTTATACCTGGTTTGGCAAAAAAAAAAAAAAAGATTCAAATTTGCCAAAATAGATCCAATGGTTACTATATGCTGGAGGAGGAGGTGGGGCGAGGCGGTGGCGGAGCTTCCACCTGCGACGATCGGCGAGGAGCAAAGGTGCTGCGACGACGGCGGCGACGGTCTGAAGCTGCGACGATCGGCGGCGAGGCAACGGCGGTGGTGCTGCGCGACCCTCTCCTCTCTCTTTCTCCCTCTCTCCTCCTCTTCCCTCTCTTTCTCCCCTCTTCTTCCATTTTCGAGCCGTTTCGAGCTCGACCCTCTCGAGCTACGGCTCATTTCCGATTTTAGTAACTTTTTAATTTTTTAGTTAAAATATGAGATAAAAAAACTAGTATATTTAAAATGACTTTTCGATTTTTTATGAAAAGATATGCAAAAAATAGAGAGATTTGAAAATCTTTGATCTTTTTATATAGGTTATAGACTTTTTGATTTTTTTAATAATTTTTTGGCTTTTAAACTAAAACTCTCTCGTGCCAAACGAGGTCTATATACCAACGGAAGCCATCCGATTAAGCGTGTAACATGATCTTCCAACACGATAGAGAGAGAGAGAGAGAGAGATGATCGGGGGTTTAGTTGTACAATAATACTTGGTAATTCGAATTTTCATGATTTGAATAGTACGAATGTCTCAAAACGACTAAAACTACGTCATTTTGATACATTTGAGGGCCAATGCATGACGTGAAACCCTAGCCATTGATCCATCCCGGTGCATAATTCAAAACATGTTTGGCTTCAACGAGTATTCGTTTGGAGTGAAATCAAATAGATTTTGTTTACTATTTTTTCGCATTGATTCTTGTTTTGGTTCTTGTAATTTGATTTGGCTAGTTTAGACACATTGGTGTAGCCTATTGATTTCATTGAGTCGAATTTGACGGGGTGTTTAGGGTTTGATACTTGTTTACAATAAAATAAAATAAAATAAAATAAATTGTAAAAATATGCATTAAAAAATTAATGCGAAGCAATATCAAAATAAAAAAAAACATCAAATAAAGAAGGGAAATTCTCGAATTAGTTTATTTTGTAAATTGTGACCAGTTCAATTGCTTTGTATTAAACAAATAGGCATTTGTTTCTTGTATGTTTTTGCCTATTTATTTTTTCTTCACACTTTCCTTTTTCCAGGAATAAAGTTGGATCATCTAATTAAAAATGGGTAAACTTAAGGTTTTGTTACTCCTATTAGGAGTTGTTATGCCTGCAATTCCAATTTCCTATGGATTATCAGTATCGTGTATGACGGTCTACGATGAAGGTAGTACTCCCGCTGTTTTTAGATCTCCAGAATGCCCAGATTGGGTTCTTTCTCCCAAATCTCATCAAAATCAAATTATGAATTGCCAGTTTGCTAAAGAAGGAAATATCAAGAGGATCGTTTTTCATGTAATCTTGATATGCAGATACCGTTGCTTAGTAATCACAATACTCTTTACTGATATTATAATCGCTTGTATGATTATAAGCAATACGGGTTATTTTGCTCTTAAGTAGAAAAAAATAAAGTTTCTGGAACTTGACATGTCAGGCTGGGTGTGGTGGCTGTCTTTGATGGCCATATCGGTGAGGAAACTAGTGAAACGGCCTCAAAACTTCTGTTAGATTTTTATTTTCGTGGACTCTATGTTTGGCTCGTTCATGGACTGGTTAGCATTGCAGGAAGAAGACAATATGGTTTTTCAAAATAATTATGAAGATGAACTTGGGAGGTGAGTCCCTTTGTAACATACCATGACTTTAAAATGTTTGTTAGCAGTTTGTCTCTTCACCTGTCTTAAAGTCCATGCTCACACTTTCCTTCTTCTCCAATCCAAGCAGTAACGGAATTAAGAGAAGATTATGAGGGGTCGGGGCTCGTATTTCTTTGAAAAATGCTATTTGTCATAACATTTAAAAAATATCTATATCATTTTATATATAAAATGGCCTCAGCATAAAAAATATATATCTTATTTTTCTTTCATTTTGCATTCTCTTTCTATTTTGCACTAAAAAAATTTCTTCATTTTATTAGATATGGCTTCTATGGTATTTAATTTTTATCATATTTTATATATGTATATATGTGTGTGTGTGTGTTTGTATATATGATGAAAAAATTTTATTGATCTTTTGGCTCCTACAATGATGAAATCCTGATTCCGTTCTTAAATCCAAAGAATACTTTGATAAAGTTTCGGGCATATGTAATGCACTTAAAAAGTAGAACGTGCATTGTTCTTACATATAAAGCACTTTTGTAGCTTGTTCTGCATGCAAGAAGTTGCTATGTTAGCCTGTGCATCACAACAAATCCTCGCTAATTTGTTGACTATAATAGTAATACCGTGTTCAGTACCACATGGTTGAACAATTTTAACCCATTCACTTTTTGTTGCAAGTGGAGAAGCACAATCCTTAGAAAACCAAGGATTGTAAAATGTCTCTTCTTATTTATATCCAAATTCTTGTTAACTTGTTTGTTGGTGCAGGCACAGTTCTGAGGGAATAGTGCCTGTGATATTGGATGGATCGACACACATGGGAATCTTGAAGCAAGCCCTGGAGAGAACAATTTATGATATTGATTCAACATTCCCCGAGGCAAGTGCCACTTTTTCTTATTTCTATTCCTCCCTTTCTTTGTATGGGAGTGTAACTTGTGGTTCTTCCTGCTTTTTCCCGCATTCTTAAATTAGGCTAGCCATCTTCCTCCTAAATTTGTTTTCGGGTTCTGTACTTTCAGGAAGCTTTAGAAAACAATTTTTTTTTCAGGATCCACAGCTGTCATTGCCCTTCCGGTAGATGGTCAAATTTTAGTGGCCAATGTTGGTGACTCAAAAGCCCTTCTCTGCTCTGAGAAACTTCACCCGCATCATGAGGCTGATGGTTAATTTCTTTTGGCTAATATTTTAAAACTTTTCTTTGTTCAATTTGTGATAAGAAAAATACTAGAATAATATTATACTTCTCTTTCATTTCTTGCACAAATATTATATGGCTCAAAGATTGGGCACACATGCAAGACACACATTTGTCAGACTTTATTTTCTTTATTATTTCGATCCCAATCAATTCATGTCGCTTAGAAATGACGACAGGTACCTTAATGTTGTGTTTGGTTGAGAGATTTGATGAGAGATTTGGAAAGAGAAATGGAAAAGATAGGTAAAATGTGAAAAAAATATATCTATATTTCACATAATTTCACACACCTTTTCCCTTTCTCTTTCCAAATCCCTCCCCAAATCCTCCAACCAAACACAGCGTAAAGGTGCATCTTGCTTCAAAGGAATTAACAAGAGATCATAATCTACACACAAAAGATGTGAGAGCCAGGGTTGAAGCAGCTGGTGGTGATATCACTGAGTGGGATCCACCTCTAATCAATGGTCATTTTCCTATGACACCTGCTATTGGCGATGCTCCTTTAAAGATGTATGGTTCCTAACACAAAGGAAATCTTAAATTTGATTTCTTCTTTCTTTCTTATTTATCAAATTTTGATTCCTGTCTCCACCTACACTATTTATATAGTTACCAAGCTCCAAGATTTGTCTTTCCTAGTTTCCACCATTTCTAAAATGTTCATCACCAATTCTTGTCTCTTTTCCTTCTCATTCAAAACACCTTTTGTTTTTGTCAGGTATTTGGTGGTTGCATCGGATGGCATATTTCAAAGTCTGGAGCCAAAGGATGTCTGTGATCTCTTACAAGATGCACATTTCCAAGGCAACAAGAAGTCGAAGCAAAAATCCTCTTGTTTGTTGTTGTCCTCACTGGCAGACTGCATCGTCCACAACGCATTTGAGAAAGGCAGCACTGATAATTTGTTTGCTGTTGTAGTTCCACTAATGTCAGTTGGTTTTAACACAAGAACCCTTGTAGGTAAGGAAGTGAGTGGAGTAACATTGATTCTTCTGCTTTAGCACCTTGATTGCTTTGTTTACACTTTTCTTTTCTGTAATTAGGGATGAACATGAGTTAGATAACTTTGTAAATATGTTTTCTAGTCAGATAAGCAGCACATATAGATTCTAGTTCAATTTGGTCCTCTCTTCTTTTATTCCGAGAAGGGCTAATAGTTGTCTCATTATTATCTTTTTCTTTTATAAAAAAAAAAATAATAATTATAATAATGTTCTGTTACCCCTCCTTGGATTTATTTTATATTTCTGCAATATGAAAAAAAGATAACTTTGTAAATATGTTTTCTAGTCAGATAAGCAGCACATATAGATTCTAGTTCAATTTGGTCCTCTCTTCTTTTATTCCTAGAAGGGCTAATAGTTGTCTCATTATTATCTTTTTCTTTTATAAAAAAAAAAAATTAATTATAATAATGTTCTGTTACCCCTCCTTGGATTTATTTTATATTTCTGCAATATGAAAAAAAAAAAAAAAAAAGTATAAGGTTACAAAGACTTGCATAAACATTGGGGGAGGACAGGTTGTCAAGCCTTACATGATCTAGTGTGTCTGACTTTGGCTCTGTTTGGTAGAGCTGTGGGAAAGTGCTTATAGCTTATGCCTTAACAGCTTATAGCTTATAACTATGAACATAAACTGATTTCTGACTTATAAATTAAGCATCTCCCGCCTCACTCAAAGAATAAGCTGATTTCTGACTTACAAAAAGCTATAAGCTGCATTGTTAAGTTAAACTAAACACATCAAAATAGCTTAAATTAAGCTGAAAGCTAAAATAAGCAGCTTTTAAACTGCACCAAACAGGCACTAGTGAAATTTTTCATGATTTTGTGGAATCATCTTTAATTTGGTCATTGGGAGTATTAATATCACCTGTGAAGTGGTAATTGGATATTGTAAAAATTGATCTAAATCTATAATATAAAATATTAAAAATACCATAAAATCAATAATATGATAGTAGAGTTACCCCTTTTTTTTTTCGTGATTTTAATTAAAAAATTTAGTAATATAAGGGTGGTTAAGTTTGAGTAGTGAAGTTTAATTAGCATCTGAATTGTCATTAATGTATTGGTTTAAAATATATAAGTGAGTGCACCAAACTAATTTATTTGTAACACATAAAATAATATTTTGCTTGATAAGGAATTTAATGTAAAAAATTTCAAGCAAGGTTGTGAAGATATCTTTTTTGCTTTTGGATGTGGATAGAAAAGGAATAGATATTTCCCAAAATAAATAAATAAATAAATAAATAAAAATTGTAGATATTTCTATTGGAGGAATATATGTTTGGCGTTAGGATCCTCTGGAGTAGAAACCCTACAGTGATCTCCTAGAGTGGAAGATCCAACGGTTGACAATAAAACTCACCGAAACGATGTCGTTTTGGTGAGTAAGTTGAAAAAAAAAAAAACAAAAAACAAAGAGAGAGACAAGAAGAGAGAGAGAAGAAGATCTCCAAATTCTGCAAATGGCTGGGTTTTCAAATTTTTGAGTTTTTCTTCCGTCACCCCTTCATCTTCCCTCTCCTCTTCTTCATTCTCTCTTCACTGGCGAGCACTTGATGAGTGGTCATATAAGGATTTGAGAAAAGTATATATATATTTTTAATTTCTGCACTTGATGATGATTCAAATACCCTCCTTCTTCTTCTCTGATTACACCCACATTAAACCCACTTTTGTGATTTTAATTTTTTTTTTTTGTTGATAAAATCGTTTGTATATTTATTTGTTTTGATTTATATATATAGAAAGAGAGTTTTGCTTTGATCCGGGAATGATTCTCTGTGAGGACAAATAACAAACACCAAAGCTACAAAATCAAAATAATAAAGAACAAAAGACATAGACATGTAAGATTAATCTCAGATTTCCCAAGAAACAAACAAGCAGAGCCTGAACCTTAATTATACAGAGCAATGCCACAAAGATCATATAGATATTTATTTGACTCCATTACTTGCTTCTTAACAAGGAGACAGTATCATCAAAGGAAGGCATTGTCTTGAATATTTTGAAATTATTTTTGGAATCTTCATCTTTGTCTAAAAGGCTAAGTTTTGCTTCTTCCTTAGCAAAAACGCAGTCATCATCGTCTGTAATCGACTCCGGAAGGAAAACTCTCACGTATATTGTAGCTATCACCTAGATGAGATATTGACAGTATTAGAGACAAGAGTTGTAGCCAATATGAATTGGCGGTGTCCGATGGTGGCGAGGCGGCGAAGAGGGAGAGGGAAGATGAAGGGGTGAGGGAAGTAAAACTCAGAAATTTGAAAACCTAGTCATGGCAGAGTTTGTGATCCTCTTCTCTCTCTCGTCTTGTCCCTCTCTCTCTTTGTTTTTGTTTTTGTTTTTGTTTTTGTTTTTGTTTTTGTTTTTTTTTCAACGTATTCACCAAAACGATGTCGTTTTGGTGAGTTTTATTTTCAGCCATTAGATCTTTCACTTTAGGAGATCACTGTAGGATTTCTATTCTAGAGGATCCTAACGCCGCCTTTGTGCGTGGGGACAATCTATGGACCCATCAAAATTATGGTTGATTTTATTAAAATAATAATATTACAAACCTCAAAAAAACATAATTCTCACAATTTCACTTATCTATGATTGGTCCAAAAAGAAAAAAAATAAAAAATAAAAAAATAAAAACACATAATTGGTCCACATCATTTTAAAGGTAATGAGAATTTCTAACTTTGGAGGTCCCAAACATTTTAATAAATATTATAAGAGTATTAGTTCAATTGAACTATCAATCTTCCCTTAGGGTGGGATTAACATACTCATCAGCTAGTTAGGATTGTTAATCCAATTTTCTTGAATTGAAATTAAAAAATCATTTTTTTATATTTAATGAATTTTTAAATTATTTTTAATTAAAATTTATATTTTTTTGGAACCAAAAAAAATAATTATAAAATTAAAAAAATATTAATCGTAGATATTAATATTATCTATAGTATTACTAATTTGGATGTGTACAAACAAACACTCTTTATGCTATATCTCCAACATAATATTATCACATTAATAATTTACTCACTTAATCTCATCGTACTCTTAGGTCTCGTTTGTCAACTATACATTTTAGTCAAAAAATTACTATAAATTATCACATCATTCTCTTTATTTTTTTTCACATATTTTTATAAAAAGTTAAAAATTTATTAAAATAACATATTTCCTTAAAAATAAAAATTAAGAGTTCTAATTTTGAAGTTCTAAAGAGAATTTTAATGATGTGATAAGAAGTAAGACTCACATATAATGATATGTGTATCTACATTTTATTTTTATTTTTTTCTCTTATCATATCATTAGAATTATCTTTAAAACTCTAAAATTAAAACTTTCTATTATTATTGTTTCTTTAATCTCCTCCATAGCCAAACAAACTCATTTCCATTGGTCAAGCGCTCCACAAATGATCCAATAATTACTTGCCACTTATTAGTCCCCACTGCCACGCATGTGCTTCTCCTTCTATTTGCAGCTATGTAATTAATTATTTATTTATATTTTCATTGCAGAGCTCAAAGGAGAACTATAGGGCAATTGTTCTTATTTTTTATTTTTTAAATCTCGATTCTTTATCCCATTTAAAAAAAAAAAAAAAAACTCAATTCTTTAAACAATTAAAATGTAACCCAATCTTATACTCTACAATCCAAAATGATCTAGTAAATACTAGAACAATGTAGAAGGCTTCTTATTTTATTTATTTTTTATTTCTGGATTGGCAGAATTCATAACTTTTGTTATTTTATTATTATATTTTTCCAATAAAATAATACTGTTTGCATAGTAAGATTTAAATAAGAAAAATGTTTGGGAGCACTAATTAGTGCTCCCACTAATTAGGTGGCAGTGGGTCCCGTCATGAATGATGTGATGTTTTGGTCTTGGAGTTATAATTTTTTTTTATTTTTTTTATTTTTTTAATACATTAGTGCTATTAGTGGTGATATTTTTAGTGGGATGAATCATTGTTATTTAAATAATAGATGACCTACCTACTTTGGATTAAAATAATCGCAGCCACGTCAGACCCATGTGATCATTTTTAGTGGGGACAGTAATTTTTTTTTTTTCATTTTTTCCCATTAAATCGGGATTCTCTAAAAAAAAATAATAATTCAGCATAAAATTTTAAAAAAAAATTATATATCAGTTGTAAAATTTATAAACATTAATAATTAAAATTCTGAATTTTTCTATGTATTAAGCCTCGTTTAAGAACATATTATTTTAATAATTTTTTAACTTTTTATGAAAAAATATATAAAAAAATAAATAGAATGATATGACAATTTATATTAATTTTTTATCTTTTTAACTAAGACTGAAAATTTCCAAACGAGGCCTTAGCTAGTCACCACTGCCACACATGTGCTTCTCCTTCTATTTGCAGCTATTTAATTAATTATTTATTTATATTTCAGTGCAGGGTTCAAAGAAAAGGGCAATTGTTCTTATTTTTTATTTTTTAAATCTCAATTCTTTAAACAATTAAGCGAATCTTTAAAGTCACCTTTGAAATGTGAGTTGATCTTTTCATTTTTTTAATTATTTTAATATAGGACTAAAAAATTTCATTTTAGATAAATTTTTTAATTTTTTTTTGATTTTTTAACTTGGTGATAATGTGTCCATATATCAAATTGCGTATATGTCCTTGAACATCAATTTATTTTCTTTTCTTCAATTTGTGCCCATGTGCTTAACAGACCTCCTACGCTGGCACATCAGCCTATGCCAACCCCACTTTCAAATTTTCCTGTCAACTTCGATTGCTAATAATTATGTAAAATGGGGTTTAACTTGGCGTGGGTGGCATTGTGGTTAAAGTTTAGAGTTTAAACTTCAAGGTCACAAGTTCAATTCTTTTTTTTTTGGCCAATTTCTTAGGCGAAGCGCAGTTGGTTAAGAGATTAGATCTCAAGTTGTCTAATCAGCACTTGGTGTGGGTTCAATACTCTCCCGCTGTGCGAGTCCTAGCTTAAGGGGAGTTTGTCTCGGGAGGTTGAAGCAAGTTCTCAGGTTATAATCTTCTCGCTCAGAACGGCTAACAAGACACCCTGATGATCTCTGCAAGGGGTACTGCTTTGGACCTAC